CGCTCCCCCTCTTCGTGGAGGAGCAACACAGGACCCTGCGCTGTTCTTTCGTCCGCTCGGCCCACCCCGGGTTTGCTGCTGGTTCTTCCCGGGTTGGCTACTATCCCTTCCACCTCCGTGGAAGGGCAGTTCCCCCTGGCCACATTCCCCACTTCCGCAGGGGAGCGGCACACCGCCGGCCGGCTCTCTGGGGGGCTGCACAGGTTCCCTTAGATGTTCCCCATAGATGTTCCCGGTGCATGCCGTCTCTCTCCTCCTTTATAGTCCTCCTCCGCCAATCCCAACTCGGCTGCCCACACGCCGAGTATGCTGCTCTCCAATCAGGAGCAAGTCCTACAGTTAATTGGTTGAACTGGAGGCAGCTGTGCGGAAGCTGTTTACTTCTCTCCCAGCGCCATATTGTGGGAGAGCAGATGCATAGAATAAGTCTTAATTCCAGTAACTTAGTCTAGTCCGGATTGCTCCCCACAGATCCCCCTTTCTTTTTATTTTTTAGCGTTGATACGCGCCTGTCTTCGGTGTCCCGCGGCACACACTCTGCTCTACTTGCTAGAGTTGCCACAGGCTCTTACAAGTCCTATCAGGCAAACCGAATCCGGGTCCTCTCTTCGCCCTGTTGTGAGGAGGTTTTTAGGCGCTGATGCGTGCCTGTGTTCGGTGCCCTGCAGCGCATACTCTGCTCTGCTAGAACTGCCTGCAGGTGTTTACAAAACCTATCAGGCAAACCGAATCCAAGCCTTCTCATTGCCTTATTGTGGGGGAGACTTATTAGTGTTGGTTCGTGCCTATCTTCGGTGACCTGCAGCTCATACTCTGGTCGAGCTTTGCTGGCGCTTACCGCCTTAAATCAGGCAGACCGAATCCAAGCCTCCTAATTGTTGCATTGTGGGGAAGCTTTACTGATGTTAATTCGTGCCTGTCTTCGGTGACCTGCGGCTAGCCGCCCAGGTGCTCATCGCCTCACTAATCGGGCAGACCGAATCCAAGCCTTCTAATTGGCATGTTGAGGGGAGGCCTTATTTTTCTCTATTTCTCTATCTCCGGGCATTCCTACTTCTCCCATTTTACTTCTATCTTCCAGCATTCCTATTTTTCTCACTTTACTTCTAAACTTCTGTTTCTCTTATCCCTGCGGCTTTCCGGCACCTCGCCCCGCCGGCGGGTTCCCGGCTCTGCGCCGCTTCAGCCCGCGCGCCTCTCTCATCTGCGCAGCTTCCCGGCTTTGCGTGGCTCAGCTTCGCGCGCTCCGCAGTCTCCACGCTTAACCCTTTCGCGTCTGAACCACGGCCTACGCCAGTCCCGTTCCCTATCTATTCACGCCCCGTGCTCTCTCTGCACGCGGCGGCTTCCGCGAGTAACACAGCGTAGCTTGCGTCTCCGCCATTAGCATTCAATCTAAGTTCCGCGGGCTAGCCTGGCGAATTCAACCCAGCGTACGTCTCCGCCCCACGGTTTGGCTTCCCGTCCTTTGCTCCCCGGGCTAATCAGACGGATCCCAACCTGGCTTGCGTCTCAGCTTCTAGTTTCAACTTTTCGCCCCCTATTCCCGGGCTAACTTGAGAACCCCAAAGTGGCTTTCGTTTCCGCCTTGGCCTGCCCCCCGCGGCTTCAATTTCCCTAACATTTTTCTCTACCCGGTATGTTTCCCTAAGTTTTCTTCCAACAATATTCCTCCCTCATTTCTCCTGGCCTCTCCCCACAGTCCGCGTCCGAGTCTGTTTGTTCTAGCTTTCACTTTCGCTTTCGACCTTAGAGATTTCTCCCAGCTTCCCCCCGTAGTCCGTATCTGAGTCTATGCCTAGGCTTTCAATAGCTTCTTCCGGCTCCTTTTTCGTCCGGCTTTTCCCTAGGCTGTTTGCTAGTCTCTCTCTCCGGTAATTTCCACTTCTTCCCGTTTCTTCCCTCCTAAGTTTCATATCCGTCCTAAGTTTCCTATCCAAGCTAGGTTTCCTATCCGAGTCACGGCACCATTATGTCACTCCCCGTCTTCGTGGAGGAACGACACAGGACCCTGCGCTGTTCTTTCGTCCGCTCGGCCCACCCCGGGTTTGCTGCTGGTTCTTCCCGGGTTGGCTACTATCCCTTCCACCTCCGTGGAAGGGCAGTTCCCCCTGGCCACATTCCCCACTTCCGCAGGGGAGCGGCACACCGCCGGCCGGCTCTCTGGGGGGCTGCACAGGTTCCCTTAGATGTTCCCCATAGATGTTCCCGGTGCATGCCGTCTCTCTCCTCCTTTATAGTCCTCCTCCGCCAATCCCAACTCGGCTGCCCACACGCCGAGTATGCTGCTCTCCAATCAGGAGCAAGTCCTATAGTTAATTGGTTGAACTGGAGGCAGCTGTGCGGAAGCTGTTTACTTCTCTCCCAGCGCCATATTGTGGGAGAGCAGATGCATAGAATAAGTCTTAATTCCAGTAACTTAGTCTAGTCCGGATTGCTCCCCACAGACACCCTTTTGTACCTATATATTATATATTGTTAACAATGAAATTTTCTCTATTTTATTATTTGTTCCAAATTAGATGGCTCATTCTTTAAGGAATTCATAGTGTAATGATTTACCCTCAGTATATTGCATTCAGGCCACCCCTGAGTTGTCAGCTATAAGAAATCACCCATTACAATTTGCTCAAGATAAAATTACTTGAAGAGGTGGTTCAAGATCCTTTGAATATAATTAAGATGCAAACTGTGAACTTATATTTTACCAATGTTTACAAAGTTAGAATAAAACCCAGAACTTTTTGACCCAGTCCCCTTAGCACAGGACCTAGCTCAGTCATCCAATGTTCTTTCCTTAAAAGGAAAACCTTAATTAGCCAAGTTAGGGACCCAAATTTAATATTCATTAAGTTTTAGTCAAAGAAGGATCAGTTTGTTGTTTAATAAATAACTTGTCCTAATTTCCTTTGTTGATGAATTATCAAGGTTGAATTTTAAATGCAGAGTGAATTTCTTTCCCTGGAAATTCTGAAAGTACCCAGCAGCACATTATACTCTAATTTCAAATCCTCATGTAGATGATATATTATTTTATTCCCAAGTGAAGCTCCAAAATACAGGTAATTGGAGAAGCTTAAAATGAAAAGTGATTCTTGCTTGTAATAGAAGTATAAAGAAAGGTATAGAATTAACATGTGAATAATAAACAGGTAAATGACATTAAAAATCTTATATTTCTAATTTAGTACACTGAGTATGTGAAATGGCAAGTAGAAATATTCAGATAATTGCTGATAAATTTCTCTTTAAGGAAAGACAATTTCATTCCATTGGAAATGCTGAAAAAGAGTTTGTGATTTTTTTCCCATAAAAATCGTATCTGTCCTAACATAGAAGAAACTTTTAACAGGAACAGCTGTATAAGGAAGACAAAGTTGCCATCACCATCTTTAAACCTGACAGTTTGCCTTACTCACGTAAAACACCATATGTATCATTCGAGGAATTCTCACAAGTTATGTGCTAACAATTCGCAGAAGTCACACAGGTCTTTTGCCTGAGGTTAACCCATATGAATCTCATCTCATTTTCACAGTTACTTTATTCTGTGCATCAATTACTGATAATTTGACAAGTGCTAACAGCTGCTTTCCTGGGATAATATAAGAGCATCGCCTTTCCTAAGATATTTTTATCTTAAAATTTTGAACCTACATGCAGTAGAAGGGTGAGACAAAAAATTTTAGTTATATTATTTGTGATCTTGTTTCTACTTATACTTCCCCTCATTTTGCCACCATCACTGAAAATAGAAATGTATTGATAATATTTCCATTCTTTTTTAAAAAGTTTTATTTTTATTAATTTGACAGAATTACAGAGAGAGGTAGAGACAGAGAGAGAGGGGTCTTCCATCTGTTGGTTCACTCCCCAGATGGCCACATGAGCCAGAGCTGAGCCATTCTGAAGCCAGGAACCAGGAAGCTCTCATGTGGGTGTAGTCTTTGGGCCACCTTCCACTGCTTTCCCAGGTGCATTAGCAGGGAACTGGATTGGAAGTGGAGCAGCTGGGACTCAAACTGGCTCCCATATGGGATGCCAGTGCCCTAGTGTTTACATTCTTACCATTTACCTAAAATGTGTTAAATTAATAAACTTAAACAACTATGTAGAAAAATACAGCTTCTAACATTCATTAACTTACATTCAACCTCTATGACATTGACTCTTCTTAGATTCAACATATGGATTAGTTTTTTTTAAATAATTTTTGAGCTTGATTACTTCAGTAAACATCATGAACTCTAGTTCTATCTATGGTAAAAAGGCAGGGCTTCATGTGTTTTAATAGCAGAATGACATTCTATTACATATTTTCAAAGATACTTTAAATTTTGGGGCCGGCGTCGCGGGTGAATACGCTAATCCTCCGCCTGTGGCACTGGCACCCCGGGTTCTAGTCCCATTCGGGACGCCGGATGCTGCCCTGGTTACCCCTCTTCCAGTCCAGCTCTACGCTATGGCCCGGGAGAGCAGTGGAGGATGGCCCAAGTCCTTGGGCCCTGCACTCCTTGGGAGACCAGGAGAAGCACCTGGCTCCTGGCTTCGGATCTGCACAGTGTGCCGGCCACAACAGCCATTGGAGGGTGAACCAACGGAAAAGGAAGACCTTTCTCCCTGTCTCTCTCTATCACTCTCCACTCTGCCTGTCAAAAAAAAAAAAAAGATACTTTAAATTTTGGAAAATGGAATTAAAAGTTTATATACACAGATTTTATCATTATAGGCAATTTTCCATGAAATTTTTAAAGATCTCTCATACTTGTGGATTTCAAAGTGGAATCATGTAATATCTCATAGTGGTTTTTAATTTTAATTTGCCTAATAATTAGTGATTTTAGTACTTTTTTGATAAACTTCTTGGCCATTTGTATATCTTCTTTTGAAACATGTCTATTTGGATCATATGCCCACTCATAGCCCTGACTGTTAATGAACAACTTAATACATTATCCCTCTTAGTAGTTTTTTTTATCTGTTCTACTTAATATGACTGGTTTAGATCTGTAATTGATGCACAGTTATTCTTAAGTGTTGAAAATTAACTGAAATGTGATCCCTGTTGAACATGGTGGTGGGAATGGGAGAGGGAAGAGATGTATAATTTGGGACATGCTCAGGCTGACTTGCCCCAAGTGGTGGAGTTGGAAGCATACCAGGGGATTCCAATTCAATCCCATCGAGGTGGCATGTACCAATGCCATCTCACTGTTCCAGGTGATCAATTTCAGTTCACAGTTGGTTATGGTGAAGGGACTGGGAGTCAAAGGGAACACATAGACAAGTCTAGTACCTGCTAACGCTAACTGATGGAGTAAATAAAGGGGAGAGTGATCCAACATGGGAAGTGAGATACTCAGCAGACTCATAGAATGGCAGATGTCCTAAATAGCACTCTGGCCTCAGAATCAGCCCTAAAGGCATTCGGAGCTGGCTGAAAAGCTCATGAGAGTATTTCAGGCATGGAAAGCCAAGACACTCTGGCAAAAGATCTCTGCGAGTGAGATCCCAGTGGAAAGAACAGGTCATCAAAGAAGGAGGTACCTTTCTCTGAAGGGAGGAGAGAACCTCCACTTTGACTATGACCTTGTCTAAACAAGATAAGAGTCGGAGAACTCAGAGGGCTTCCATAGCCTTGGAAACTCATGACTGGAGCATAGGGAGATTACTGATGCCATAGACAGGAGTGTCAATTGGTAAAGTCAACAACAGGAGTCACTGTGCACTTACTCCTCATGTAGGATCTCTATCCTTAATGTGCTGTACATTGAGATTTAATGCTATAACGAGTACTCAAACAATATATTCCACTTTGTGTTTCTATGGGGGTGCAAACTGTTGAAATCCTTACTTAATGCATACTAAACTGATCCTCTGTAAAAAAAAAAAAAAAAAAAAAGAAATTATCAATTCCCAACTTGACTCTCACTGGGATTAAACGTGACAATAGGTCTGCTCTGATTTCATCATCATTTAAAAAAAATCATCTATTATTTTTCACTTTATGTTTCTGTGTGGGAGCAAACTGTTGAAATCCATACTTAATGTATACTAAGCTGATCTTCTGTATATTAAGATAATCGAAAATGAATCTTGATGTGAATGGAAGGGGAGAAGGAGTGGGAAAGGGGAGGGTTGTGGGTGGGAGGGACGGTATGGGGGGGAAGCCATTATAATCCATAAGTCGTACTTTGGAAAATTATATGCATTAAATAAAAGTTTAAAAAAAAAATAAATTGTTTTCTCTCTTCTTTCCTTCCATAATTCCTTCCTTTTCCTCTTTTCTTTTGTTAAGTTTCTTCTATCCCCTGAACTTTATTCCTCTGTTAGAATATATAGTTTATGAATATTTTCAACTAGTCTGTAGGCTGCCTCTTCACTCGTCGATTTCTTTGCTGTGCAGAAACTGTGTAGTTTGATGAAATCCCATTTGTCTATCTTTCCTTTTTTCCAAAAGCTTTTTAGAATCTTACCCCCAAATTTCTTGCCAAATCCATTGTCCTGAAAGTTTCCTGTATGCTTTCCTCTAGAAGAAGCACCCATATGAAAAATGAATGTGGATATATGGGTTTAGTCTCTATTCTGTTCTATTGGCTTATGTATTTCTTTTTATGATAATACCATGCGGTTTGGCTTACTATAACCTTGTAATACATTTTGCTTTGTTTCTCCAAGATTGTTTCAGGAGAGAGAGATCTTCCATCTGCTGGTTCACTCAACAGCCATCACAACAATCACTGGGCCAGGCTGGAGTCAGGAGCTTTATTCAGACCTCCCACATGTGTAGCAGGTTCTCAAGTACTTGGATCATCTGCTGCTGCTTTCCCCAAGACATTAGCAAGGAGTGAGATCAGAAGTGGAGCAGCCAGGACATGAACTTACACCAAAATGGAATGCCTGTGTTGCAGGCACCTGCTTTATCTGCTACACCACAACACTGGCCACAGTGTGGAAATGTTACCATCCGTAATTCCAATCCATGAACTCAGAATATCTTGACATTGTCTGTGTCCTTACCAATGTTACATGTTCAAGAGTATTCTATAGTTTTTATATCAGAGATCTTTCATTCTTCTGGTTACATTTATTCTTAGACTTTTTTTAAGTGTTGCAATACAACTCATTACAAGGAGTATTGTCCTAAAACTATGTTAAATTTAATCAAGTGTTGTTACTTGAACATATTATTTGTCATTCTGTACACTGACATGACGCTTCATGTTCATTCATTTGCATATATTGTACAATCTTTGAATCCTTGGGGTAAATATTTGCTTATAAGTAATCTCTAATGTTCTGTTGGATTCTGTTTGCTAGTATTTTGTTGATGAATTTTGCATAAAGGTTTATCTGAGATTTTGTTCTATAGCTTTTTTTTAAAAGATTTATTTATTTATTTGAAAGACAGAGTTATAAATAGGCAAAAGAAGAGAGAGAGAGAGAGATTGAGAGAGAGAGAGAGAGAGAGAGAGAAAGTCTTCCATTCACTGGTTCACTCACCAATTGGCCACAATTGCCGGGGCTGGGCTGATAAGCCAGGAGCCAGGAGCTTCCTCTGGGTCTGCCACGTGGGTGCAGGGGCCCAAGGACTTGGGCCATCTTCTACTGCTTTCCCAGGCCGTAGCAGAGAGCTGAATGTGAAGTGGAGCAGGCAGGACTCGATCTGGTGCCCACGTGGGATGGAGGCACTGCAGGCAGTGACTTTACCTGCTATGCCACAGCACCAGCCCCTCTATAGTTTCTTTATTCTAGTGTGTATATCTCTGCTTTTAAAATGAGGATAACGCAGGAAAGAGTTTGAAAGAATTATCTCCTCTTGAATCTTTGGTGGAATGATTTGAGGAGAACTGGTGTTAATTATTTTTTTTGTATTTTTGTATTTTTTATTTTTATTTTTTAACTTTTATTTAATGAATATAAATTTCCAAAGTACAGAATATGGATTACAATGGCTTTCCCCTCCCCCATAACATCCCTCCCACCCGCAACCCTCCCCTTTCCCACTCCCTCACCCCTTCCATTCACATCAAGATTCATTTCCGATTCTCTTTATATACAGAAGATCAGTTTAGCATACATTAAGTAAAGATTTCAACAGTTTGCTCTGACACAGAAACATAAAGTGAAAAATACTGTTTGAGTACTAGTTATAGCATTAAATCTCAATGCATAGCACACTAAGGACAAAGATCCTACATGAGGAGTAAGTGCACAGTGACTCCTGTTGTTGACTTTACAAATTGACACTCTTGTTTATGGCATCAGTAATCACCCTAGGCTCTTGTCATGAGTTACCAAGGCTATGGAAGCCTTTTGAGTTCACCGACTCTGATCATATTTAGACAAGGCCATGGTCAGAGTGGAAGTTCTCTCCTCCCTTCAGAGAAAGGTACCTCCTTCTTTGAAGACCTGTTCTTTCCAATGGGATCTCACTCGCGGAGATCTTTCATTTAGTTCCCCCCCCCCCCCCCCAGAATGTCTTGGCTTTCCATGCCTGAAATACTCTCATGGGCTTTTCAGCCGGGTCCGCATGCCTTATGGGCTGATTCTGAGGCCAGAGTGCAATTGATCATAATGATAGGACTAAGAACCAAAGGGATCACATAAACAAGAATAGTGTCTTCAAATACTAGCTGATAGAATAAAAAAGGGAGAGAATGATCCAACATGGGAAGTGAGATACACAGCAGACCCATAGAATGGCAGATGTCCTAAACAGCACTCTGGTGTTAATTATTTAAACATGTGGTGGAATTCAGCAGTAAAATCATTTCATCTAGAGCTTTTCTTTGATGGGAGCATTTTTATTGCTTATTCAATCTTATTACTAGTTATCAGATTATTGGCATTTTCTATGTCTACATGATTAATTCACATAAAGGTGTATGCAAATATTTGTCCATTTCTTCTTAGTTATCAATTTTGAGTAATTTGTTCAGAATATTCTCTAATGGTCCTTTGTATGTCTATCACGCCAACTATGATGTTTAGATTTTTCATCTCTGTATTTGTCTTTCTCATTCCTTGAGATGTGATGCTGATTTCCTTCCTAAGGCTGCATTTTAAATTTCTTCACCTTACTATTTTTCCTTTTTTGTTTTTGTCTTTTTTTCTTTCTAAATGATAGTTCAAATTCTTATTTTATCTTCCTTCACTTTTTAAAAAGACTTGCTTATTTGAAAGGCAAAGAAACAGAGAAAGATTAAGAAAAGAGAAAGAGAGACAGAGATCTGTCCACTTGTGTATACCCTAAGAGTGGCTGCAACAACCACATCCAAAGCTTAGAGCCAGGACCTGCATCTGAGTCTCCCACCTGGATGGCAAGGGCCCAAGTGCTTAACCCATCCCCCATTGCCTTCCCAAGCAAATTAACAGAGATCTTGGTGGGAAAAGGAACAGCCACAACTTGAACTGGCAGTTGGTATGTGGTATCTGTGTAGGAAACAGTTACTTAACCTGCTGTGCCTTGATGCCAGCCCCACGGTGCCACTTTGTCTGTATCCCATAGATTATGTCTCCATATTCATTTGTTACAATAAACTTTAAAATTTATTGGTTCCCTATGTGTATACTGTTTAATGTATTGTACATGTATATGTATATTTTCGAACATTTTTACGTTTCCAATTTTTGATTTATCTCATGCAAGTTAGAAATAAATGTAGGATTGCAATTTTTCAAAATCTCATTGAGACATGTTTTTTGACCTATCGCGTAATGTATACTTCAGATTTTCCCTTGTTCTATTGAGAAGAATGTATATTCTGTAACTGTAATAAGGAATATACTGTTGATAGCTTTTATATCCATTTGGGCTAAAGTGTAGTTTATATCAGATTTTTTTTTAAACTTTATGTCTGGATTGATTTATCCTTGCTGAAAGTGTGATATTACCTCTTCAACCTTTTATGAGAGGTTATCTCTCTCCTTATATCTATTAATATTTGCTTTATATACTTAGGTACCCAGGTACTGGGTTCATTTTTTATTTACAAATGCTATTTCTCCCTGCTGAATTGACCTTTCATCATTATATAATGAGTTTCCTTGTCACTTTTTATGGCTTTTGTTTTAAAGAATATTTTTCTGATGTGATTATGGCTCCTCCCACTTTCTTTGAATTCTTTGCATGGAATACACTTTTTCAATGCTTTATTTTCAGTGTATATGCATCTTTAGAGTTAAAGTGAATTTCAATTAAGCTGCATATTGTTGGGTCTTTTATTTTTCAATTCATTTGCTCTATTTCTTATAATTGGGAAATTTAATTCATTTACATTAAAGGTAATTATAGGTAACATTTTAAAAATATTTGTTTATTTGAAAGGCAGAGTCACAAAGAGAAAGAGAGAGAGCGAGTGAGAGAAAGAGATACAGAGAGAGAGAGTTTGATTTTCAGTCCATTAGCTCATTCCCTCAAAAGACTGCAATGACAATGACAAGGGCAGAGCCCTGCCAAAGCCAGGAGTTTGGAACTCCATCCAGGTCTCTCATATGCTTTCCCAGCTGCACAGTAAGGGAACTGGCTTGTAAAGGGAGCAAAC